CAGCTCTCCGCCATCAACCAGAGCGGACCCAAAACCTGCGTCTGGGCTTCGGAGGGGCAGGCCACAGCCTTCACACCCCCGGTGGCCTCGCGCGCAGCCCATCTACTGGCCGGCCTTGGCCACGGGGAGAGGCACTGCCCGGCCAGCCTTCTGCTGCCACCAGGGCCACAGAGGACTGGCCCCGCCCATCCCCAGAGGGCTTGCAGGACAAATAGTCTTCAAACCCATTAACTGAGAAGGGTCTTCTCCCGCACCCACCATGCGCCTTCCGAGTTTCTCCCCAGAACAGAGCCCTCCTCCAGCCGCCACTGCCCTGCTCTGGGCCCCAGCAGCTCGCCCTGGGGTCCAGCAGCCCAACCGAGGCGCGTCCGGCCCACCTGCTCCTCGCCACACTTGGTGCCTTCCGGCACTGGCTCGTACGCGCTGCTGCTGTCCTGGACGAGAGCCTGGCAAGCACCCGAGGAGGAGGTGAGGGTGCAGGAACTCCGCTCCGGGGGCTTCTGCCCCCCCTCACAGAACAGAGTGCCACACCTGTTGACCCTGAGGACAGAGGGACGTGCGTGGAGCCAGCTCCGCGGGGACCCCTGCGCGGTGCTCACAACCGTGCTCAGCGCACCAGGAGCTGTGGGTGAGGCCCTGGGTCCACCCGCAGGGGTCCACGGCCCAGCCACAGTGACCCACTCTCCCAAAGGGCAGCATGCTCTGGCCTGGGGGTCCTGCAGGGCCAGGTAGGCCCCCGGAGAGGCTCCTGACTCAGCTCCCGGACTCCTTTGTGCAGAGGACTCTCTTGGTGGAAACATTCCGTGCCCTGGACCCAGGGAAGTCGGGCCACGGGAGGACGCTCACCTGCCAAAGTCCAGGGGGATACTGCCCTTGCAGCCTGTGGAGATGCTGTAGCTGTAGCACGTCTCCGTGGCAACCCGAGCGCCTGCGGGGCAGGAGCAGGTCAGCGCTCCGACTCAGGACCAGCAGCCACCCTGGCAGTCCTGAGGGGCCCATGACCAGGGCCCATGCCTGCCTCACCTGGCCCCCACAAGTCCCGGCACCTCTGGGCCACCGTGGGGCAGGCCCCGTTGTAGCAGTAGCCCCCCGGGCAGGGCGTGCCGTTCTCCCAGAAGGCGTCCTCGGGACACATGGGCTGCCGGCCGTCGCAGTACTCCCCGAGGTCACACTGGTCCTTTGCAGGGCGGCACGGCTCTCCGGCCGGCTTCACCTGGTTCAGCAGAGCCGAGCTCACCCAGGGAACAGGAGGCGCCCGAACACCCACGCCTGCTGCTGTGCCCCAGAACCCCAGGCTCACCCTGCACTCGTGGCAGCAGCTGCCGTGGGCACACTCAGCCCCCTTGGCCAGCAGGCAGGTGCTGGCATTGCAGCAGCGGTTCTGACAGTCCTGGGGGCGGGGGCAACAGCGAAGGTCTGAGCGGGCTGCACGCTGGGCTGGCCCCAGGCCCTTCCCTCGGGTGGTCTGGTCACTCCCCGCCACGAGCCCTGCCAGTCGTTTTGGTACCAGAGGACAGGAGGTGTCGCTGTGCGTGCGCAGGGCGCCAGGGGGTCAGGAACGGTCGCCCCAGCCTGTGGATGGGGACCAGCCCCCCATGTGGGCAGCGGGCAGAAAGCAGAGGGTGGTGGCGGGGCCCGGCCCTGTACCTGGGGGGCGCCGCAGTCGCACTGCTCCCCACGCTCCAGGAACCGGTTCCCACACACGGGGCCGCCCACCAGCCGGTCGGGGTCCGGGGCGTCTACCAGGCAGGCCGTCTGGGGCTTCTCCACGAACGTCTCCAGGTCAGCCCGGCTGCAGTGGCTGAACTTTCTGGGGAAGCTGGAGCTGCGGGGAGGGGAGTCCCTGTCATCAGAAGGGGGGGGCAGCCGCCCGTGCCCTGGGACACCCCTGCTGGGCGGGAGGCCCTCGGGTGGGCTGGCTGGGGCCAAGCCTCACCCGATGCTGGCCGCCATCACGCAGCCGCCGCCGCTCCGTGGCACTGCGCAGTAGCAGTCCTGGATGTTCTCGTCGTGGTCCATGCCCAGGTTGTGGCCCATCTCGTGGGCCATGGTGCTCGCCACGCCGACAGGGTTCGGGCTGTGGTCCTACAGGAGGGGCCATGCTGGCTGGGGTCACTCTGGTGGCCAGTCCCCCGCCCGCCCCCAGCAGGCTGAGGGGCTCGGCGGTGCCTCCTGCCAGCATCACTTCTTCAAACCTAAAGCGTCAGTGCATCCTTCGGAAGAGGCAGCTGCTCAGGTGTCCGGGGCAGCGTAGGGACCAGCAGGTGGACCTGAGTCCTGAGGCCCCCCCTCGCAGGCCCCAGCTCAAGCTCTGATCCCCACTCCCTTCCCCCCCACCCCCAGTGGCCAGCTCCAGCCTCTGTCCAGCAAACCCAGCTGGATCCCCCGCACCTGGTTCACAGCCCCCGAGCCCTGGGAGCACATGGTGGACACCCTGGCCAGTCCCACGGTGGTCCCTGCGAAGTCGACCCCGCTGGGAAAGAGAGCAGTGTCTGCACGTGGACACTCAGAACCCGCCTCCCCTGGGGGCTCCCTCGTCCTGGCGACAGCGTGGCCCTCCGCCCACTCACGTGATGAGCTGCGCGTTGTCGTGCAGGTGCCGCCCCGCCAGGTCTCGCACCCGCCAGGACAGGAAGTTGTTCAGTGTGGTGTCGGCCTCGGTGCTGACGTGAATCTTGTCCCCACCGTTCCACATCTCCAGGCCCACGAGCACCACGCGGAAATTGAGCTCCTGATAAAGCTGCCAGAGGGCAGGGAGCCCCGAGGGTCAGGTTCCAACGGTGAGGCCAGTCAACGGCCAGAGGTCCCCCCAGCGTCCGCTGCGATGGGACAGGTCACGAGGGCAGAGTCCTAGCCCCCCCCATCACCTGGCAGATGGTTCTACTGGCAGCCGGGCGCCCCCCATGGCCAGCACTCTCCTCCTCTCCAGGTGCCCCAACAGGCCTCTACAACCAGGGTTTCTGTTGGGCTGGGTGTGTGCTGCCGCGGGGTCCCAGCAGCCCCTGCTGAGAGGAAGCCCCCAGAGCGAAGCGGCCCCCACCTTGTCCACGTGGTTGACCACCTCCAGCATCCGCTGGCGCACAGCCTCTCTGCTCCCCAACCGCTGGAACTGGAGGACAGTAGACCCTCAGCTGCAGCCTTTCGGCCCACCTGCACCCACCCCACCCCCCGCCCCCGCCCCCGGTACCTCTGTGCTGTCCGTGACCACGAACAGCTCCACGTAGCGGGTCTCTCGGGGCACTGGCCAGTTCTGAGGAGTAGGGACAAGAAGCCGGTCAACCACCCAGCCACAGCCCGCCTGCGCACACGGAGCATCTCCAGGCCCCGGAGCTGGCCCCACAGCGCTGGGGGAGCCTTGGTGGGAGCTGGGGGGGGCTCTGGCGCAGACTAAAGAGCTGGCTCTGCGGCCAGCGCGCAGCCAGGCCCAGGCCCACCCCAGCCACGGGGGCGGCAGGCAGCACCCCCGCTTCGCGGGGCATTCAGGAGTCTGGGGATGCATGGGGCCAAGCGGACGCGGAAGCAGCGGGCAGGGCCTCCCCTCACCCGGGGCCTGAGGGCCGCCGAGACCCGCGGCCCCAGGATGGTCTCCAGGCTGCTGTCGTTGACCCCGCAGGTGCCGGCCTTCTGCTGCAGGTGCTGTGCCTGGTACAGTGCGTGTTGCCCCTCTTCCCCGCCCCCATCCAGGGGCTCGATCAGGTGGATGGTGGAGCCGGCCTGGAAGAAGCCCCTGAGGCAGAGGGAAGCCCATGGCTCTGAGTTAGCGAGGGACCCCAGGGCAGCAGGTGCCCCCGGCCCATCCCTCCGTTCTTGGCCTCAGTTCACTTCGCTGGAGAGTGAGACAGTGCTGGGCCCTGATGTCCTGATGCACCCCGCCTGGTCGGCAGCACCCACCTGAGGCCGGCACAGGTGCTGAGGCTGGCAGCGGATCCCTGGTGCCCCTCCACGTTGCCCTGGTAGAAGCAGTGGTCCTGTGGGAGGAGGGTGTGAGGGCTCCGCCGCCAGTGCCCGCGCTCCCCACACCGCCACGGCCAGCCTTGGGGGGGGGTCACTCGGGGGCCACACCTGCCTCAGTAGCCGCTCTGTCACCTGGGAGCCATCGGCAGCCGTGTAGGTCTCCACGTAGCCCGAGCCCACCAGGTCCCTGGAAAAGAGCCCCCGTGATGCTCTGGGCCCCGCCTGCCTGCCCCAGAAGCCACCTTTGGTGTGGAGGAGAGGCTGGGCCAGGGAGCTGTATGCCCAGGACACAGGTGTGTCAGGGGCAGGGATGGGAGCAGGCTGCAGGCTTAGGCCCCTGCTCACCTGTTCTTCCGAAGGTGCAGGGTGAAGGTGTGCCCTCGGGCCCCCAGGACGTAGCTCACACTCTCCGGGTACAGGCCCTGAGCCGGGAGAAAAGGGAGGGGTCCAGAGAGAGGGGCCCTGCCCCAGCCACGCCCACCTCAAACCTGGGGGTGGGTAGCACAGGGCCAGTAGGGGGAGGTGGGGCCTCGGGTCGAACCGGAGGCAGTGGGCAGGTGGGGAGCTCCACCCAGAACCGCCTCGGGTGCCTCAGGCCTCGGTGGTTTCCTCACAAGTCCACACGGGGAGAAGAAGAATGCCCCTTACCGGGAAGCAAGGGGAGGGGGGACACAGCCCCTGACAGGCAGCCTTAGAACCCAGGCGGCAGAGGTGACCCGCCCCTGCGAGGCCCCGCCCCTTCCAGCCCAGGGCCCGACTGGCTGGGCGCCCCCAGCCGCAGCTGACCCCTAGGACACCGTGCGCTGTGCCCGCACCCTGAGGTCAGGACGGGGCTGTCCTCAACACACACTTGGGCACGTGCAGGCGCACACGCTTCAGGTCTCAGGAGTGCCCCCAGGCGCCCCGGGGAGTCTCCCAGCCCAGCCCCAAATGCCCGAGAGGCGTAAGCTAGCGCCCTGCTGAGCCATCCCCTCCAGTCTTGGAGGAGTCTGACTAATCGCTGGAGTGAAACTGGGGAGTGGCCACGGCCGGCGGAGCTCCTGAAAGGAAGACAGGGCGGCCCGGCCGGCACCCCCCACCCCGAGGCGGGGCGGCTGTGGCCCTGCCCAAGGGTGGGCAGGATGGAAGAAGAAGGTGAGGCCCGGGGGGGGGGGGGGGCGGGGAGGGAGGAAGGCGGCCCCTCACAGCTCGCTGGGCACACGGGGAGCTATCACCCTGCTCACAGACAGAAACGGGCTCTGAGGGGCCAGGGAGGGACCCCCAGGCCAGCCTCCCGCCCAGGCTTACCAAGTGGAAGGGCAGGGCTCGGCGGGTGCGGGGTGCTGGCAGGCGCTGGGGCCTCACCACCTCGTACTGCTCCACGTGGGGCAGGGTGGCCCTGGGGGCAACCTCTGCAGGAGAGGGGGGTCAGCAGGCGCACAGGGCACCCTCCCGCCCTGGGGGTCCCTTCCCAGCCTGCTGTGCGCCGGCACCTCCTCTTGGGGAATCGCCCGACAGCGTGGGGACCGCAGACTCTGAGCCCTGGCTGCCCAGCCCAAGTGGGGTTCTGCGTGAAAGAGGCCGCAGGACCCCTGCCCTGGGTGGGGTCGGGCAGACTTGCGCCTGGCAGTGCACGGAGACCCCACCCAGCGCCTGCCCTTCCAGGAGCCCACCAGGCTGCCTCCCAGACCCTGGGGTGACCCGGATGCCCCTCCCCCTCAGAACGAGGACACACACAGGCCCTGGGCGGGGGGAGGGGTGGGGGACGCGGGGGGAGGGGTGGAGGGTGCGGGGGGGGGGCCAGTCTGCCCGTCCAGCGCTTAGAGCTATTTTTCATCCCAACTAATCACGTGACCGCATCTAACAGGGAACTGGCAGCCCTGTTCCGCAGGGTTCACCCAGCCCAGATCTAGAAGCTGCCCCGTATCCAGCAACAGACAGCAGGGACCCAGCCCAGGCCCAGAGATGGAGACCTACTCCCCAGGTGATTCTTTTCTCCTTCTTTCAAGGTGTTAATGGTTGTGTCTCCGTAACGGCTATCTGGCAAACCTCCCGGAGTGACGTGCAGAGGGCCTGCCCCGTAAGTGCCCTCCCCCCCGAACCCCAGGAGGCTCTCAGGAGCTAGGGTGGGGGCCAAGGCCAGCAGCACAGTCAGTTCCCCCAGAGGAGAGGCAGGTCCCCATGTGGCAAAACAACCCCCTGGGGTGCCCCCAACCCCTCGGCTCCAGGCCACTGCTCCTCGGTCCTCCCCTCCCTGCCAAGCTGGGGGCTCCCCGTGGAGGTGGGCAATCCTCCCGAAGCCCCGGAATGGGGCCGAAGCAGCCAGGTCCTCCACCCTGTTCTGTCCCAGCCGGTCCCCACCTCCAACGCAGAAAACGCCCAGGTGGCCGTTTCCCCACGCACTTCCCTTCTGAAGTTTCCGTGTGTGCACCGCCCAGGGCCTCCCCACCGACGGGCCACCTGTGCGCCGCCGAATCCCAGAGACCAGCCCAGAGCCCCGCGCAGGGAGCAGGGGGCCAGGCGACCGGACCAGCTAGAGCCAGACGCCCAGCACTCACCCTGTAGCCACAGCGCAGCAAGCAGCAGGAGCCCGAGGCCGTGCATGGCGGGCGGTGCGGGCGGGGTCCGGATCCGAACCCACGGTTCCGGGGGGCTGGGGAGAAGGTGCTCCGTGCTCAGGCTGGCTCTGGTCCTGCCCTCGCCTCTGAGGCTCTTGCCCTTGCGCCCCGCCCTGCCCCAGCGACCAGCCCCCTGCGCGCGGCCAATCAGCCCCTCGGGGCCGGGAAGGGCCGGGCCTGGGCACCTGAGGGCGCGGTCCCGCCCCCACCCCGCCTCCCCGGTCTCCTTCTGGTCCCCTGGGGCTCCTGGACAGTGTCCCGTATCCAGTGTTCAGCACACAGTTTTGTCAACGTGGACTGAATTAAGCAGGGCAGGTGGACAGACTAACCTGGGCCACTCCTGCAATTGCATCCCCCATGCAGGTGAGGAAACAGGCTGGGGCTGCCCGGGGGGGCCCCGCCGGGGGTGGGGGTGGGAGTGGAGGCCCTGCTGCGTGTGAGGCGTGCGCAAGCTCCAGCAGCCCTGCTCCCAGGCTCCTGAGGCCTCACTGGGGAGACTGGGCAAGGGGAGCACACAGGTGGGGCCGCTGGCCAGGTGCCGGGCAGCCACCTGGCTCAGGGAGCAGACCCTGCTCTGTGGAGAGGGCGGATGTGGAGGCCCAGTGGACAGCCCTGGGATGCGGTCGCTATGGGCCAAAGTCTGCAGCTGCCTGCCCGCTGCTGCCCCCAGCCCCCAGTTTCTGCCCGCCCTGCCCTGCCCTGCAGGCTGGGACCACTCCACTCTGGCCTGGTACCTGGGGATCCAGGCTTCTTGCAGCTGAGCTGGCCGGTGGCACCCCAGCCTCACTCTGAACGTGCCCCTGGGAAGGCAGGACATCAGAGCGTGTCAAGGCCTCAGGTGAAAGGGTGTGGTGCCCTCAGTGGGTCCAGACCAGAGGTCAAAGTTCAAAGGACCATGATTTCCCCCAAAGTGAACAGCAGAAAAAGGAAAACAAGGCAGGAGGGCTTTGCACACACTTTGGGGTATCTCAGGCGTGGGTGACAGAAGCCCCCAGGGCCACAGTGAGCAAGGGGCACAGGCAGCTTGTGTCCCTGAGCCCATACGTGACCGTGTTTCACACAACGATGCGTGTGAACCACCCCAAATCCTCCTGGCCATTTTACTTCCCTTTTTTGATATTGCGTGTTATCTGATAGCAGAAGTTCAAAGGCTACATGTCCCTATTTGGGCAAAAACCCCAGCTGCTGGGACTACACGCTCTGCTGCCCAGACCTCAACAGGGAACTCGGCAGCAGGGGCTCAGCACCGGCACCCCCACCCCACCTACAGGACCAACGTGGGCCCGCAGAGCCCCCGCCACAGAGAACCCCTCCCCCACCCCACCTACAGGACCAACGTGGGCCCGCAGAGCCCCCTACCCCAGAGAACCCCTCCCCAAGCCCACAGGGCGCTCCCCTCCCGCTGTCAACGCCTGCAACCCGGAGGTGTCTCCTGCAGGAAAGCCCAATGGCCAGAGCCCAGGACAGGGACGCAGGGCTTCTGGGCCTCGGGCCAGGTGGGGGGCCAGTGGGCGCCTCTGCCCAGAGCCTGTGCTGCAGAAGCCCGGACTGTGGCATTTTGGGTGCACCCGCACGCACTGCAGCTTAGAAGAGGAAGCAGTTTGTGGCTTGAGTCCAGGCCCCCAGCTCAGGGTGCCCCCTCCGCAGGGCAACAGCGGGGTTGGGAGCTGCCCGACCCCTGCCCCTAGGGGAACCCTGTCGTTCCTCATCTGCCAGAGCGGGGTGGGGGTGGGTGGGCGGGGAACACCTGGAGCAGGCGGTCCGAACTGAATTTTGAAAACGACCCACGTGGAATTCTGCAGGGAAAGGGTAGGGTGGCTGGGAGGGGGGCAGAGCAGCACAAAGGTATTCACCGCAGGCCACACCTGGGGCTGGCCGTGCCACCCACTGCCCATCGGGAGGGGCCGGACAAGGCTGGGCCTAACAGGACAGAGGCCACAGCCTCAGCCGCCGCCCCAGGCAGCTCTTCCATCCTCAGTGGGCGTGTCGGTGACTCACCCCCCCAAGCTGCTCCAGCCTCGGGACAAGGGGCTGTGCTGCCCCCTGCTGCCTGGAGCAATGCCCTGCCTGCCGTGAGGGGTTCCTGCTGACCCCAGGGAGCCCAGCCCCACTTCACAGGGACAGGTGTGGACATCAGGCCCAGACCTCGCCCCCACCTGGCACCTTGGTGACTGTCCTGATGTTGTTCAGAGGCCATGTGTTCTCACTTTGTCTGACTTGAAACCAAAAAACTCTTTAAAGGGACTCTGCTCGCTTCAGGAAAGCGCGCAGACAAGCAGACCCTCTCTGGTCTGAGTGCACGAGCCCCAAGAAACAAGAGGAGCTGAGTGCAGACAATTCAACTTTATGTTTAAACAGGACACACACAGCACAAGCGTTCTGGAAACATGTGGTGAGAAACCTCTGAACTCATCCACCTGAGCCTTCAGCTGTGGCAGGAGCGGCTGGCCTCACTGCGCAGTGACAGCGACCCTGGGCGCTGGAGCTGGGGGCCCCCGCGGGTTGGGCACTGGGGGGGCCGCCTTCTGGCTCCTCTCTGCAGACAGGCGCTCCAGCCGCTCTGTGTAGAAGCCGTTGAAGTCGAGCCTGCAAGGGAAGTGGGCAGGGTCCCTGCAGATGCCTCCGTGGCCACACTGGCGATCCCCTTACCACCCCACGGTGAAGGGCATGGGAGGCACTCAAGTCTCCAGCACACGTGCACTCAGACACACATACAGGACCCAGGCGATACTGAGAATAAAGCTTAAAGACACAGGTGAGGGCTTCCCTGGTGGCACAGTGGTTAAGAATCCGCCTGCCAATGCAGGGGACATGGGTTTGAGCCCTGGCCTGGGAAGATCCCACATGCCGTGGAGCAACTAAGCCCGTGTGCCACAACTACTGAGCCTGTGCTCTAGAGCCCGCGAGCCACAACTACTGAGCCCGTGCACCACAACTACTGAGCCTGCGGTCTAGAGCCCGCGAGCCACAACTACTGAAGCCCGTGTGCCACAACTACTGAAGCCCGCGTGCCTAGAGCCCGTGCTCCACAACAAGAGAAGCCACCGCGATGAGAAGCCCGCACACCGCAATGAAGAGTAGCCCCTGCTCGCCGCAACTAGAAAAAGCCCGCACGTAGCAACGAGGACCCAACGCAGCCACAAAAAAAAAAAAAGACACGGGTGAAGTGAGACAAACGTCTCCAGCCCCTGGACACTGGGGCTCTCTGAACCCCGGAGCCCAGGACATTGGAATGCCTGTGGGCAGAACAGGGCAGCCCAATGTTTGGCTGAGCCGGAGGCTACCCAACAGGAGGCTTCCCAGGGCAGGGACAGCCCCCTCCTCACCTGAACCCGCCCCCGAAGGGAGCAGGCCCGCCACGCCCCCTCTGAGGAGCAGGAAAACGCCAGCCCCAGGTCTGCAGGCCCCACCGACCGGCCCTCGGGCCCCGCGCACCCGTCCTCGCTGATGCACGGTCCTCCCCACGGCCCCCCAGATTCCGCGGACTCCTGCTCGCGTCAGCCCTGCACGCTCGCCGCTCCCAGGGTCACGGGAGGTGGACCCCAGGGGGGCACCAACGTGGCCCTCGAGGCGCGGCAGGCTGGGCGAGCGCGGCCCTGACCTTCCATGCGTTCCCCGGGGTCTCCTGACCAGCCGCCAGCGGGAAGGCAGCGCCTCCTCACTGCTCACCTGGAGACAGTGCGACGGCCCGCGGCTGGGGCCAAAGGGCCCTTCCAGTGTCCTGGGTCCTGGCTTGGGGCACAGCGGCCAGTGCAGCTGACCCAGGCCTGGCCCTCGGAACACAGAGAAACGGGGAGAGGGCTGATGGGGCGGCCTGACGTATACCAGTCAACACGGGCACGCAGGTGAGCATGCACACGAACACCCGCACACGTGAACGCCCAGAGGCCACTCCTCCAGCAAGCGGCCAGCGGCGGCACACGGAGGCCAAGGGAGCCTCGGCTGAACACACGCGGCCTCAGTCACACCTGCGCCGAGTGGCGGGAGGGCGCGTGCGCCGGTGGGAGGGCGTGGCGGGGCAGGGCGCCGGCGGGGGCCGGTGCACCCACCTGGAGATGACGCTGGCCATGCCATGCTCGCAGTCGCTGGTGCTGTAGATGCTCAGCCGGGCCAGGAGGTCGAGCAGGTGGGCTGAGAAATTCTTATCGAACTTACTGATGGTGGCCTCGAAGCTGGAGGCCAGCTGCGGAGCATCCACGTGCTCGGCCAGGCACTGCAAGACATGGCTGTCGTGACTCGGCCGCCCGCCAGCAGCTCAACCCCCTTCTCTCTTCTTTTTTAAATAGAAAAATGTGTCTCGGCAATTCTTCACGTGAAGAAAGGTAAAACGTTAGGCACTGTGAAAACCCCTGAGATGGCAGGACCTAGAGACGCTCCAGGCAGCCGGCCCTGCGGCCCCACCACACGGAGCCAGGAAGGACGTGAACCTCAGGGTTTCCGCGTGTGGCTCAGATCTTCCAGCTGACACTGTTTTCTCTTGACCGCCGCTCAGCAAGTGGGGGACCTGGGAGTGCCTGCCCGGGCTCACCCTGCCCCGCCGCACCCCACCCTACAGGACACACACCTGCACCCGCCGAACCACCTGGCCCTTCCGGTTACGGACAGACTTTAATCGCAGTGACCGCAGGCCCCTGCGGGTATCCCCATGGCTCGGGCTTACCACACACCCCCTGAACGACGCAGCCTCACTGTGGGAAGTCGGGAAGGGAGATTCTCCGCGGCTTGTATTTGGAACATACATTTAAGAGCCTTTTTATCAACCAAAGGGAAGACAGGAATGGCGGGCTGTAGCAGCGCTGTGACCCTAATGCTGTGTCCAATCCCAGCGGGACAAAGGAGGGCCTCGGGGACGCCCGCTTGGCCACCCACCCACCTTGCGGGCAAGCTCCTTGCGGGCACGCTCCTCGGCCCGCTCGGCCTCCGTGGGCGGCCCCCGCATCGTGCCGTGCTCCAGTGTCGGGTGGCCCAGCTCGCTATCCAGTTTCATGC